CACCAGGAAGCTCAGGAAGGATTGAGCTTGGCCCCATTCCTGAGCCAGGTCCGCGCTAGAATTCTAATTCTTGAACCTTAAGCCCTGATTCATTTCTTATACGAATAATCTTACAGGCTCCTACAACATCATTATGTTCCAGGTTAGAAACAGTTTATCTACATCTTTGCTTGATGCATCTCTATTTGAATACTATGCAGGACAAAAGGAATTTCGACGGAGTCCTGAGTGTTGAAAAATTTTGCATCAGCAAATTCTGAATAGAAGGCAGAAAAGGGGTCCTTGAGCCACCCCCTAGTGTACGGCTACAGCAATCAACCCGGCCATCAGCTGCTGCGCATAGGCAGAGAGATGAGACCCTCATTTGCTGAAGCACCGATTACACAAGAAACGGAAATTAATTGAATAAAAAAAAAAACCAAAATCAATTGCACAAAAAGCCCAAGTCAAGCATTGATTTGAATGTTCATCATCACATGATCGGGAGTCCCCCGAATTACCAGTCCGCAACAAGCAACTGAAAACTTCGCCTCATCTGCGATAACCTCGTCATATAAATAATATTTTCTGTTACAACCCAAACAATTTCTGCGCCTAATCAGTCACTCTCAGTTTCTATACAAAAACAAATCAGTTCCTAAGTAGTAGCAACCGCAATTGCTGTCCAGTCCGGGATTTAGTTCTATTTTTCTAGACGTGAAATTGGTACTTGTCACCCCCTGAATGCATATGCTTAGACGAGGCAGCCAGCGGTGCCCTTTGCTGTGCATCTATGCCTTCAGTTTTGCGCCAGCGGTACCGAGAATGTTAATGGCGATAATAATGTTGATCTAGTTAGTAATGATAATAATGATGAGTAACACTAAATATATACTGTTTACTGCATTTGGGTTGCTGAGGAGAAAACTGGTTCCGCGTTCGCTACAGCTCAGTCACAGGTAAAAAGGATGCCTTCAGATGCTCCAGAGAGGCCGCATCTCAGTCGAAGGCACAGAACGCACAGAGGGCTCGCAACGCTACCACCCACCATTAAATGCGGTGGTTCATGTTTAGTATCAACACTGAATGCCGCTGTAGGTGCTTGGTATCAGCATTGTATGTGTTGGGCATCTGCATTGAATTCAAATGTATATGTTTAGTACTCCCATTGAATTCAGTTGTAACTGCTTAGTTTGCAAGGCTATGCTGCCAAATTTGTTTCTAACCCATGTCAGTATATAGGACTAAAAGGAGCAGGAGTGTTCTGTGTTGGAACTTGATCATCTCCGTAGTCACTGTGTATCGATCAGTGTCGAAATATATATATTCCATGATCGGGCAGTGCGTACATCAGCAGGATGCGAACTCGCGTTGAACAACATCATAATAAAGAGTTATTTAAAACGAAATTGTATTAGAGATTTCAATTTCAAGAGCAGTAGGCACGAAGGACAGAAGCCAGCGCATGCGTAGGTGGTTTATTTGTGGCTCATGTTTGGGTTGGTGGCTCTCATCTCGTCGAGTAGGCGTCTGTACAGTTTATAATTTTCTGCGGGTAAAAAGCACAAGGATTCGTAAATATACCTTGGTATGTGTGGGGGGAGGTGATTTATATGGTGAACTGCAGGATTTGCAGGACCATCTGTGTCTGGGGGCTGCCCGCCACAGCTAAGTAAATCTTTGACTGTCCGACGGGGATTCTCGGAAACAAACTGGAATGCAAATTGCTTGTATTTTTGAGATCTGAAATTCTAGCCATTTCCACCGTTTCCAGCAGTTTATCGTACACCTCAACACTCCAGACCGTCCCAGACCGCAGCAACAGAGGCTTCGTCTTCAAGCCGTCAGCTGCATCGGGAAATCTCTTTGGCAGCTGCAAGGAATAAGAAACTGACTGCAGTATAAATGGCCACTGCAATGATCAAGACGGCTCCCGACGCCAGACCATGGGTGGAGAAGTAGTGCGTGATAGATACACCTGCATTCAGTCTTTCCATGTATCACTCTAGTCTCTGAATCAATATGATGTACACCAATGATATGACATGCAGTATATTGACACAACTCTGATCTGTTTCTCTGCAGCCGTCCGAGAAAAATCGCGGAGGTTTCGCAGCAGGTTGAAGCGAAGCGTCTTCTCTCGCGGATCATTGAGACCGGAAACGTGAGGCATTTGTGTTTGTTTTGAACGGTAGTTTTGCACGCGTTACGAATATATTTTCCTTTTATACAATGCACAAGACGACAAGTTTCACCAGAATGCGTTCAATTATGCGCTCAGATGCCTCACTTGCTCTTTTTTGGTCCCCCTGGATCCGGGAAGACATCGGCGGCGTTGGCGCTTGTGAAGGAGCTTTTCGGGTATTGAAGATAAAGTTTTTGCGCGTTTCCAGAATTTATTACAAACTTTTCGTAGCGTATCTTTTTTAAACAACACAACATGCAGAATTCGTCTCTCTGCATTCGTACTTCATTGACTGCCTCTGCGATTGCTC